CAGCAGGATGATGGTTGTAGCTGGCTGCCTCCTTGCATCTTAGCTGTGCTCTGTTCTCAAGTGATTTATACTGTGCTCTTATTGTGCTGTAGATTAAAGACTCTCATATGGCTAGTGGATGTCACAATGGTAGTCGCTAGCAAGTACCATCTTTTCCTTTTCTGACTTTCTTTGGCAACAATCTCACAGCTCTTGGATCTCTCAGGTTCCTCAGATGCTAATGCTCTACATAAGAGGGATGTTATCTGGCACTTGCATGATGGAATTTATTGTGGAGGTTTAATTTATTAGTACTTCTCAAATGCTTATGAAAGCTTGAACATGTTATAAAATACACGTATTATTCTGCTCTACTGAGAAGAAAAAAATATTCCTAATTTGACTTAGAGCTAACAGCTCCCACGTATGTCCTTACAAATGCATCTAGAATCGCAAGCAGCAGGAAAGCATTTGTTTATCACAGAATGTCCTTGGCAGTCACTGCGGTGTGCTGGAGACTCTTATGTACATGTTACTTCTGTTTGGCGGTCACTTCACATTAAAATCTATCTTTTTTTTTTTTTTCCTCCCCTTTAGATGATATCTTCTCTAGCAGCCAAGTCAAGATACCCACTCCCAAAAGCAGATCTTCACAAGCAGCTTCAGAAGCAAAATCTGAAAGCAAGACACTGAACACCTTTGATGACCCGCTGAATGCCTTTGGAGGCCAGTAGCCAAGGGGAGCATGTTGCAGAGAGGAGGCTTTCCTTATGCCGTGTCCAGTACTAATACTCTGGATTCTCTAATCCAGTAGAGCTGAAATGAGATGGCTGTGGATATTTAAATGAGATTACCCATTTCAGATGGTTAGTATTCTCTTGTGCTGGGTCTAATTGTGCTAAACGATATATTTAAAAAAAAACCACAGTAACCTCCTGCTATCTTGTTTCCATGGTGCCCAGATGAATATAGCCTGTGCAATACCTGCAATGAAGTAATCTATTATACAAAGTATAGTTTGTTTTATTGAACAGATCTATAGAGAAAATAATTGATAAATAGTAAATGGAGTCTGTTAAACCAAATCTGTCTGTATGTCTTACTTTCCTCTTTACCACTTGCTAAGGACGTCTGCATCATGACTTGAAAACAATCAAAACCACTGCCATGCCTTGTCTGGGTCAGCTGCCAATCTACTGAGCTAATGTTAGGGGGAGGCTGGGTTCTGTTATCAGGTACAGCTTCTCTTATGTAATCAAGCAGTTAACAAATCTTAGTGCAGGACTTGACACCACGTAAGAGATAAGGTATTTCATATTGGCAGCTAATGTGGTTATAAAAATAACAATGGTTAAAACTTCTCTGCCAGAAAAGGTGTGTTACAGATGAGCACCTAGTGCTCCATGAAAACAACAGAAACCTAACATTGTCTTCCGTTCAAGTTGTAAGCCACTAAATGAGATTTTTCACCTGCCTGGATTTGCCAAAGTTTTGCAAATAACACTTTCCAAGAAGTCCATCTGTACTGAGCATGCTTGGTCACTTCCAGGTTAACAAGCCTATGTGCATACCTTAGTGCAGAGACTCGCTCATGCCCGTAGGCTTACTGTCTGCTTTCCTTTCTCATCTGTAACCCATTGTAGGCTGTTTACAGGAGGTCACTATTTTGTGGAATCCCTTTAACTGTCCAATGCATTTGGTTTAACCTTCTTGCTTCCTGTATTTTCTAGATTGCCCTTCTGGAACTTCTGCCATTAACCATACATGATGCCCAATAATAGACACTTGCTCTCCTGCATGCATACAAGCAGAGCAAATGCATAAATGCAGAAGGATCAAATGTTTCTCTTATTTTACCAGTGACTGCCTGCAGTTCTGACTTTAAAACTAGATGTGCTGTTTTTATGATAGCGATGTAGTACTTTATCTTCAACTCATAGGGCTGTTCTGCTCTCTGAATTTAAAGCATGTGCTTAGAGGACTTCTTTGAGAGCAGTTCCCACTTTCACTGAAGCCTGTGTTCTGAGACATCTGCTTCAGTCTCTTGTTTCTCAAGTTGGATTTATCAGGCACAGTAAATACTACAGCTGAAGCATCTAGCACTAATGAGGGTAAAGCAGAAGGTAAGGTTAGAAGGGATAAAGGAGAAACATTGTGTATTGATTTGCGCCATAGGTGGGCCTGGCAATGATTCATGTTAAGTGAGGGGTAAGTTGGGAGTAGCAGCTTGGAAAAGAATGTGGGAGCTATTTGCAAATGGGTGTCTACAGTGAGAGCACTTGCACTTTATTTATAGACATTACATCTGCTGCATATGCCTCAGACATGATTTGGACTGCTTCTTTACTCCTTTCTTCTGTGCTTAGAAGGGTTTTAGAGACATACTGGGGGAGAGAGGAAAAAGATGGTGAATTCTTCTATTTCTTTTCTGCATCCTCCTTTCTTCTTGGCCCTTCACATTAATAACTTCTACTAGCATTGCGAAGAGTGCTGCTCACAAGCCAAGAACCCCAGGGGCCAAAAGCTGTTGGAGTAGAAAGGGGAAAAAAGCTCCTGCCTTAAAGCGTTTCTTAAACTTTAATGTGAAAGCTCAGTAGAGAAAAGCTCTTGATAGAAACTTGCACCATGACTTAGATCAAAACCTTTCCTCCCCGCCAAGTCTTTCTAAACTGGCGCAGGGAGAGTCTCTTCCCCATATTAAAATGTGCGGTCCTCAATTAACTCCCCCTAACAGACTGCAAATCCTGGTCTAGGCACTTTGCTTTTGGGACAGCTTGGTCTGAGAGGTGGGGTTTTTTAACTGAGTTCTGGTTTGGTGTGTCTCTTTTCGCAAATTTGATAAACCACAGCTGCATTTTCTGGGACGGGCAGGCCTGGAGACTCGAGTGTTACAGCACCCAGGACTTGGTGAGTGCTTTTTTTCAGAGGGCTCCCGTACCTGCTCTGTGTACATGAAAAACCACAGTATTTCTTCTGAGTGTTTTAACTGGGCCTGAAACCTAACAGCTAGAGTCAGGGTAGATCTTGCATAATTTAAAATCTAAACGGAAAGTAAAGCAGTTAATGTAATTAGCACCACTTAATAACCTCAGCTTGTTTTCTCTAGCATTTTGCCAGAAGGCTGTGATCATCCAGGGGAAGCACTGCTCCTGGAGGCCGGCCTGACCGCCTTACGTTGAAGCGGGAGCGGAGTTGATCGCTGACCTTGAGTAAAGGTGCCCAAGAGCAGTGCTCATCTCCCGGCCAGCCGCCATGGCTAGCCCAGGCCCGTGTCCCGGGGGAGGCCTGCACCGGCTGGGAGTCATCCCTCTCGCGCTCTGATGCGCTCGTATGCATTAGCAATCCCTGGGCGCCTCTCGGCTTGAGTCTGGGCTATAAATGATGTTTTTGCACGTCTTCCCTGACCGCCATCAGCCCCGCCCCCGTTAGACTACATCTC